CAGGCAAGATCTCAGCCCTAGAGCATTGTTTGGGGTTTTGCATGTTTTTAAATAACAGATCTATCTGACTGGTTTGGTTGAGAGAACGCATGCTGCTACTCATACTCTTGTAACTCTAGACAGCAACACAGACTGTATAAAAGCACGCTTTGAATATGAATTAGAAAAATTAGAGACTACTTCTGATGAAAGCAGAGGTGGGAGGATTGGGGGGCTGCACTCAAGGGAGGTTTTGGCGGGGGCAGTAGTGGTTTTTGTTGGCTACATAACAATCGAATACATGTCTCTTCCGAGCTGTTTGCAAGGTTGTGGTGTGTGTGGATGCAGTGTGTATACAAATATCTTCAGACAGTTGAACATTAAGTCTGCCAGTACTATAAGATACCTAAACCTGAACTAAAATGCAGCGTAAAGGTTAGCCTGATGTTGGCACCACAATAACACACACGTGTGGCTTTTGGATGAGAGCGGTCCTAGCACTGCTTGGCTTGGCACCCAGACGAGTGATCATGTGGTGGTGTGCAGTTATCTGTATAGTCATCCTGTGTACCATTGCTGGTTTGTATCTGGTATCTTCTGAAATGATGGAATTCTTAAAACAAGATGCATTTGAAAATATTTGCCAGTAAAGAACCATGTTGTCAACTTTAAAAAAAAAAAAAAAAACCCAAAACAAAAAAAAAAACCCACAACCAAAAAACAAGCAAACAAACAAAAAAAGCCCCACAACTTTTTGTTTGTGAAGGTTGTTGTGGATGTTGCAGAGGGAAACCGGTAGACTGAAATAAGTGATATCTGTGTCATTTGGCCAGGCGGTCTCAGTCCTTCCTGAGAATACTCCTGTAACTCCTCAGATAAACCCCTGCTGACCAGGTACCCACAGGGACAGATCTGTACAAGTACGAGTAAAGAATTACTGCCCACATTGTCCTCATTCTAATGAGAAAACAACAATATTAAGGTGCTCTTCCTGTTGCAATTACTAATTTAGTAGACTGAACAGTGTATTACAGTTTTGGGGACAGAAAGGACTTAGTGGGTGAATGTTACGCAGTTTCTAAAGAAACATGCTTTCACCTGTATTTTAAACTTCTGGGGGATAAATGTTTTGCCTACTTACAAACCAAGTACAAACTGCTTGTGGTAAGCTTTGGTAAAATCCATGCAGTTTCTCTTGGATTAGGTAGTTCTGGAAACAAGTATTTGCATGTCTCGAGAGTAACTTTACTCTTGACATAATATATCTGAAGTTGTTGAACTTGACTAATTACTCTGTGATGACTGAATGGCAAGCCAGGAGAAAAAATATTACTATACACATTTACAGAATTGAAATTATATATAGTATTACAAAATTATAATTGTGTACTTCTAAATTGATTTATAAATGCAGGCCACTTTGTAGACTATGTGACTAGACATAATTTGTGGAAGATGTGGATTTTTTTGTGAATCTGCTTGCTATAGACTAGAAATATTATTTAAGAGATTGTGTGCTTCTGAAGGTTTTTCTTGTGGGTTTGGGGTTTTTTTAATAACTTAAATGAAAAAAAAATTGCAGTGTACTTCTGACAGCTCCATGTTCTGCCATAGGTATTGCTATCTCTATCCCAAATGGGTCTGTCGACTTGACTTTTTCTCTTGAATGTCTCCTACTTATTGCAGCAGCATGTATTTATGCAAAGATACGGTTTACCACTCAGCAATTCAGTGTATCTTTTAAAGTGGTGGGCAAGTTAACTCTTCAGTAGGATGATAATTTTTATTGCTGCATTAAAATGCCACATTTAACTTGCTCGCTAATTTGACTATTAAACTAGCATCAAAAGACGATAAACTGTCTTTTAAACTATGAATCCTAATGTGTAGTTCCTAGTACTACCAGATATTGATTGTGGTTCCTGTAAATAAGCTTGTGTATAAAGCTATGTATCAATACTAATGAAGAACATGCTAAAACATGTCCTGTGAAGAGCCTTTAACATTTTGTGATTTTTATTGTTTCTCTCCTTGAAGTAACAGTACCTTTTCCACAAACACTGTATTCTCTGACAGGATAGTCATGGAAGCCTGCAGTCATGTAAGTTTTATGCTTTGAATCCGATAAGTGGCAACTCTGTGGTGGAAAAGTTGATGGCACTAACTTTCCAGAACAGCCCTGCACATGAAGTCGTTTTGAAGTATATCACAACAGATGGGATTTTGCAGCAGAGCACTTGGCATCCTGCGGACTTGTAGCAGTGTGACACATTAAGTGAAGAAAATTGCAAAGGAAACCCCTTCTGCATTTGAGGTCCTTCTATATGGCTTACCCATTTGTAGAAAGGCAAGAGCTGATCGTTGTTAAAAGCATGGGATTTAGAAGGCAGGTTGAATATTCTCTTCAAACAGTTTATAATAGTATCTCATTTTTTTTGAGAGCCATTTTGATCCTTAATGATCAAAACGCAACTTAAATATATGGGTTTGGCATTGTAGTTATTAAAAATAATTTGCTCACAGGGTGAGTGGATTTAGTGTTGTGTGTATCACAACAAATCTGTGTAACTAATGAGAATATGATTATTAGTCTGAGTAATCCAAACAAAGTTACCTAGAGCTTCAATCTAGACCTAACCTGTGATAAGCGTCTTGTGTAATCTCATCTAAAGGACTTCTGAAAAGCAGTGGAATGATACGCTGCTCTGATTGCTGGTGGCTTGCCCAAGAAGTTTGAAGTTGCAATGTGCACATTGCAGTCATGTGTTACCTATCCAGTTGGCTAACAACTTGTCTACCCTCAGCTGAAATTAATGATTTAGCTGAATATTTTGTGCTTGATGGCCAGTCAGCAAATGCTTTAAAGGACATATGTGTAGTGGAACTTTACTCTTGTTTGTTAGACTCACATGATCTTAGCTGTTTCCTTCCACAATCCATAGATTTACAAAGTACTGGTGCTAATACTACATACCAGAGGATAGAAGAGATTGCAGCATGACTGGGGACAGGCTGATCTTAGAAGGGAATGGGAATCTGTGAGATAAGCAGGCAACAGAGGGATGCAAAGAAGTACCTTGGCATTGATTTGGGGATCAAAATGCTGAGTAGATAACATCATTGCTGACTGAAACACATTTGTCTTTCTGAAAAGTAGACTTTAACTTGTGAATCTGGACTAACGTGCATGCTCAAGGTTATTATGAACAGCAGTGGAGACTGAGAACACGAAATGTGTAAGAAGTCTCATGCTCTTTTTAGAAAAATATTAATCCAAAATTTTAAAAGGCCAAATTTCTTTGAAGAATATTAACACAAGCATTCTCCAAGAAGCTCAGACACCTTCTGCAGTGTTAATGTGCATACAGCTTCCCATGCGTGGGTTTGAGCAACACAGAGTCTAGCTATTTAATACTTGCTTTTGAAAAATCACTTTCATCCCAAGGATGATTTTTGGTTATTTTATAAAATACAAACATCCTGAATGAATTCCAGGTTTTCTGCCATGTGGACTCTGTGTATGTTCATGTGTGTGTTACAATGTATGTGAGGGACAGTATAATTTTTTTAATTTCTTGTTTTGTGTGGGTTTTTTGTCTGTGTAATTTCTCCCTTACTTAAGTAGTTTCTATTCCGAGATGAGAGGCAGGGTGTTAGGAAAAAAAACTTCCAGGAATATAACAGTGACACAGTGCATGTGTTTGTTTCAAAACCATGTTTTTCATGCTGACTTATCACTTCATGCTATTGATGTAAAGCAACTGTTCATCTAAGCTGAATATTTCGTCCTGTCAGGGATGTCAGTATATTTGTTTCTTCAATTGTGTGTGCAAAATATCTTATCCTCTGCACAATCCGTAATACAGATGCTTGAATCAGTTTGTAGATGAATGTCATGATTTTATTTGTAAATTTTGGAATGTATTCAATCAGTTGTATGAAAGGCTTTTGCTTTTGTCCATTTCAAAATATAGTGTAGAGGAGATTCCATGGAAGGCCATAATGCCATAGACTGAAAGAAATACTTTTTAACTCCAGTCTTTTGGAGTCAAGATACCCCGAAAGATGCTAAATGATGCTAAAGATGCTGCTAAAGAATGGAATCATACCGTTACCTTCCTTGTGCTGCAAATCTTTACATCGTTTTTTAAGGAGATCGTAGAGAATCTCACCTTGAAGTTTTGTGTCACCAACTTGAAGGCAATTAATTTCTCTTACACATTGTTACAGATGCAGAACTGGAATTTCCACGTGAATAAGTTAATCAAAAAGCATATTACAACTTGCTCATAGTCCGTTTAGAAAAGAAAAACTGAAACCTGATTACCCTGATTTTACACCCCAATATTTACTTTCTGAGACTTCATGCTTTAAATGAGCTTTTCCTGTTTTTTAAAGACCAGTTTGCTTTTTTTAAGTAACAGTATTAAATAATAGCATCAAATTTCAAAGCAAAGTTGCTGTCAGACCTTCAACTCTACTCAGTTTTCTACTTGTCTAATCAAATAAAATAACATTTTAGGATGGTGGAGCAGAACAACTCCTTGAGCGTTACTAATCTAGCAGAACTGTTGTAACATGCTTCTTAAAATTTGCAAAGATTAAGCGACTGTCAGAGTAGTTGTAGAAGACAAAGGTTGGTTTGTGACTAAATGCTTCTTAGTAAGTTAAGTAAGCCTACCAGGTGGTATGAAGAAGTCATGGTTTGAAAACCAGTCTGAGTAATTAAGGTGAGAATCAAGTGAAACTTTCCCTATGGAATTTCCCTGCCCGGCGCTGTGGCAAGTGTTCATCTGCAGTCCTGAGGCAGCCGGCGACTGGGAGCTGAGCGTAGCTGCAAGATTGCTTTATCCTCACCTTCTGCCATAACGTTTTCTCTGAATGCGTAATCCTGACCGTGTTGTGTGGAAGTTCTTTGGGCCTTTGGTCTGAATCGGCATGGCACATCTGGAATGGCTGTGAGTTCTCAGGAATTTCAACAACCACTTACAGAATCTTTTGTCTTCCTATTTCCGCAGCTTACAGAGGTGACCAGTAAAGTTCTCTCTGAGCAGCCAAAAAGCAGACAGCTCATGACTTCTGATCAGGACACTAAAGTTGTTGAACCGCAGGTGCAGCAAGTACAAGAAGTTAAAGACGGTTCTCATCTAGTAAGTATTATCATTAAATATTCCACTGGTATAAGTGTTGCATGAAACACGTTTTTTTACTGTTTTAATCAAAATTGTATCTCAGAACATTTTAGAAGACAGTTGGCTGATAGCATTGCAACATAATATGCTACAACAGAGCTGTTGAAGGTGGCTAATTCTCCACACTGAGTAGGTGCCTCAACTTAACTTTTCTTCAGCCCTACAGGGGATTTAAATAAACTGCAAGTTACAACAATTTGCACTTACTTAAGGTACGGGGCTTTTTAGGCTATGCAGGAATTATATTACCAATCTTGAGTTAGGTTCTAGCTCACACGTTAACATGTGAGGAAAATACAGGAAATGCACTTGGCATGTATCTGTAATTGAAAAAAGTACAAACCCATACAAATAGGAAATTGCATTCTGTAACAGGAATTTTGCTCAGTCATTTCTGCCAAATGGCACGTGCTGCTGCTTCTGTGCTACTGTGCAGGATCCAGTAAGTTGCTTTATGGGATGCTTTTGGCAGATCATACAGCAGACAGTACTGTGTGTGTTTATGTTGCAGTAAATGTTACATACATCTTCAATGTTACATACATCTTCAAGAAGACTGAATACTTGGTTTGTGTGTGAGCTCTACTCATATTTTTGTCTTTGAATGTTAACTATATATTGGGAGGAATGTTTCCTCTTGGGACATCTTGAAGGGTTTGGTTTCAGTGTATGTCCTCCTAGGCACTTAGCCTGTGCTATGCTAAGCAGCAGATGCTTGCTGCTTCAACTTAACCTTGCAGCAAGCACTAAGGAGAATTTTGAAAAACACTGTATACTTGTGCTTTTCTTTGCTAAGCAAGCTGGGGGGTTTTTTGTTTGTTGTTCCCCCTTCCCGCTCCTTTTTTTTTTTAAATTGGTTTTCTGGGTTCTCTTCTGCTCTCTTTTATCTTTCTCAGATGTGAATTTTGCCGATTTGACAGTAGAGGAAGAAGTTGAACCCGCTTCTGTGCCATACTTTTGAAAGTTGAGCTTTTGTGATTTTTATTTTGTTTTGTTCTTTCCCCCCCACCAGGCATTAATTCCAAGAAACCAGTGTGTAAGCTTGAGTAAGAGGCTCTTGCAGATTTGCTTCAAAATCTTGGAACTGTCAGTGCACTTTCAACAGCTGCCTTAGTATTAAAGGTGGCTTGATCAGTCTTCACATTGATGCTAGTTCTTTTAATTTGGCATGGTAGAATTTTTATAAAGCATCATGTAAACTTGGATCTAAATCTTAATTTCTGTTCTTTCATAGTTACTTGGAGAAAGAAAGTAATCATTTCTTTCAATTTCAGAAAATCTGTCTGCTCTTTTCCTTAGTAGAAGAGACGAATGTTAATTTGGATATCTTGGAATGTATCCATAGTGCTATAATGGTGCATTTCAAATAACTAATTCTTTTGAGATAAGCTTTTCCTTTGCTGAAGATTTTATTCCAAAAGCTGAGACCTGTAGCTTATTAAGCTTTTCTGAGTTATATCAATATCATACTCCTACGTGCACAGCATCACAAGGTCATTTTGTTGTATGAGAATCATTGCCAATATATGCTGTTAAAAGTGTTGTTTTCAAGATGGTCCCTTCCATGATGGCATGCTTGCGTGAGTATATTTTGCCAGTGCTTCAGGACTTCGCTTGCAAGTTTTGGGAACAAGGCTATAGTTTGAGAAAAATGTCATGGAGTACAGGAAGAAGTTAGCAAACTAAAATCATTAAGACATTTTCATCTTTCCAAAAATGTGATAGGAAGGAGAAAAACTTCTGAAGTCCTAACTCGATTGCATTTAGCAAGTACATGCTTCAGGTTAACTGAAAATCATCTGCTGTTTCTTCTGTGTCTTAATTATTTTGAGATCAGGGGGCTAGACTGCATAAAGGTATAGATTCGTGTCTGTGGTGATCCCTTCTTCAGTGTGTATTTGATATGGGGCCATACTGTCATGGTATCTAGTGAGATTTCTAGGAGTCTTTTTTTTATAGACTTAAAAGCAATTTGCTGAATTACATTCCCTAGCTATTTTGGCTATGCTGTTCTACTAGGATCTGGTGATACCTAGTCCAGGTGCTTTTGTGGCAGTTCACGAGGAAAGTTGTAGAATTTCTACTGGAAATTTTGGTACACCTGTATATATCCTGGAAAAATAACGCCCTGTATGCTAGTCTTAATTCTGAAGTGATTATATAAAGTATTTTTCGTTTTATCTTCAAATATTAACAATAAATAAATTTTCCTAATTATGTAGTAAGTCTGTTTTCTTTGGCAGGAACAAAACACGTGTTCTACTGTTAGTAATGTTGAACAGATAGTCAATAGTGACTGAACTAAAATGAAAGTTTTGATGTTGTAATGGAACCCTTCAGAAATCACTTTCCATGGTTGCTTATGGTACAGTTACAGAGGTCACTTGTTTACTTTACTAACAGTTTTCAAAGGTTTAACCTCATGGTGAGGGAGCCAAAGTAATTTCTTCTGCCTTGAAGTAGCTATAAAACTATATGCTATTTAATGCCTAATGTAGATTGATCGCAAGCCTAATATAGTTCACTTCCAACAACAGCTCCTCTTTAATTTGGCTGAGTTTAGTAGTATTCAACAGCAGAATTTCAGTAGTTTTGCACGCAAGTTGATTGAAGGAAGTTGGCAACTTGAGGATCCTTGTAAATTTCTTGTTAATAGTAGCTTACACTTAGAAGTTGGAGATAGATAATTTGGAGGATACTAGCAAATTTCTTAGCTTTGATAAATTTGGGAGTTAAATATGCTGGTGTTTGTGGCTTTTTTTTAACCTAGAGGCAGGCTTTGTCACTTCAGGTGACATCTGTCATTGGATTTTTTCTATCCTGATTGACATTTACTCTTTCCGAGAAAGCCATTGTCAGACTGGACCCAGGAAAGTCAGTGTTTAAGAAATGTTTCACTCCCTTTTGACTGACTTCTCTGTTTCCTTTTCGATCAGTAACGCTTTGCTGCTAGAAATTCGAGGTTTCTTTCTGAGGGAAGAGGCCAAGACCCAAATCCCATGGTGGAGGTAGTTTATATGACCTGTCTCTGCCAGACAGGACTTAACTAACCTTTAGTGCTAAAGGCACAGTGTTTTTCCTTTCTCATTGATCCTGAACTCTTCCCCTGCCATGCCCACATTTGAATACGTGGCCTCTCAGAGCACTTTCCAAGGACCAAAGAATTTTCTTTCCTTGATTGGCTGAATTGAAGACCCGATCTGGAAATTTGAAATTAACTTTAGAAGGGATTCTTGTCATCAAGCGGCAACAGATTCCGCAAATGTTGGCATGTTCCAGTGGAGGATACTACCATGGGATCATTTAAACTTGCTGTCTGATGGCAATATGAGCATCACCCATTCCTTCTCTAGTTGAATAATTATCAGGTGCTGCCATGGGCTTCTGTTAATGGGAATTCAAACCGATGTGGTGTGCTGGTTTTTGTCGATGCTTATAGGTACTGTAAATACAAGTTCAATCATATTGTTGGTTCTAAGCACAATAAAAATAGCTAGCAAGTCAGAAAACTTAGGATAGGACTTAATTGTACTTCCTAAAATGTTTTTCATAGGAGGTAATGCGTAAGGATGTCTCGGGCTTAGAGCTGCTAGGTTATGTTGTTCAAAAATCCTTTTGCAACCCATTCAAGAATAAGCCTCATAAAATAAAAAGGGACTGAGAAAATTAGATTTGCTAGTTTAATATAGGACCCTGTGTAACACTTTAATGAAAATTCAGTATAGCATATAATCCTCAGATCATTTGACAATACACAGTATTACATACAGTATATGCCAATTAAGAGTTGAGTAGCAGTTTGTATAACATGTAGGTGATATAATTCAAGAGATCATTAATAACTTTAAAGAGAGATGGGAGGATTAGACCTTAAACTGAACATGTATGGTATCAGCATCATGAAGGATCAATACTGCTCAGTGTTTGCTCTTTCTGTCACATTGTTGTAGATTTAGACCATAAGAAAAGTGCTGAATAGTTCTGCACCTGTAGATGACTTCTAATGCTAATGTTTAATTGCTTTAATATGTAAAATGTGTATTTAAACTCTTAACAGTCCATTTAACCTTGATATACTGGAGGGAAAGTTAAGCAATCTGACCAGCTGTTTCCAAAAGCCTGCAGTAGTGGCATTGTGATGTTTGTTGTGATGCTGCTCTTCTCTTTTCCCTTAACTGGTGGTGGGCAGGACATCAGGTATGGCCCAGGAGTGCAGGATAATTACTGTTTCTTCAGGACTAGTAACGATTGCATGATTTTATTATAGAAAAAGAATAAATGAAGTTAGATGTCAGAAGGTTGTAAGGACTGTTTTAACTTGTGCTATTGTAACTGTAAAGGAATAGGTACATCTGGAAATGAAAGTAGATGGGTAGGTATACTCCTGTTAATAAGCATGTTGACTTGTTGCCTTCTGTGTAGGTGTGTACAGGACATAGGACTAAAATACTTATTAAAAAAAAAAATTGTTCAAGTTATGAAAGTGCTGCTTCAGAGCAGTTTCGTTTCGTGGAGGTGGAAAACCCGTTTAGGCTTTGAGTAGATGAGAAATATACTAAAGCTGAAGTATATACGTATAAAGGAAAAAAACCAAAATAAACAAAACCCACCCCTCAGCTGAGCTGGGCTCTGAAGTGGCAGAGCACAAATTCTGGTAGTTTTAAAGTGCTTTTCAAGTCAGGTGGTGGTGTTTAGCTTAGCCAGAAGGCTTTTAAGACTTATTGAGTCTTGGAAGTTAAACGCCCAACCTCAGGTGATGTAGCATAACAGTGTAGCATTTTCTGCTTAAATTTATGTTGCTGGTGGTTTTTTTTTTTAATGGTGATCCCACAATAAACGGTATTGAGAAATGTGACTTAATGAATGTTTGCTATAGGTTCTTAGAAATAGAAATTATCCCTGGAACTCTTAGATAAAACCAAAGGAACAAGTATAAAAAGTGCCTTTGCACATAAGGA